TACACATTTACGACATATTCCTTCAGGCAACAACTAAATTATCATATCATCTATCCGGGAGTAACACTGCGACTCTTTATACAACAAGCTTTAAGCAGCGCTTGTCTTGCTCTTTAACCAAAAATTAATTAACATAATAAAAACTCAATAATGAAATTTAAGACCAGCAGCAACTAGAACTGTGTTGGGGTTAAGGTTGCTTTAGTGGAGCATTAAGCATGGAGCATGCCGGGCATGCCGGGCATGGCGAGAGATATGGCAGATCTATAGATAATGGAGCACGGCGCACCCGCAAATGCTATAACTGTGGCTGCCGCTGCTGTGGCGCGTGTTACGGTTCAACGGCAGCCGCTTGGCTGATTTGGCATTTGGTTAGCTGCCAACACACACACACACACACTCGGGCATTAAAGCACACTCGTTTGCTGTATATTAGCGCATTTATGAGCAAATTACGGGAGCGCCATGTCGGCTTTTGCTTTAAACGAACCACCCGCCAGTTGGCCAAGCCAGGTTGGCCGCAAAATATGAGCAAACCACCAGCTAATTGCACCACAGCCCACGTAGCCAGCGGGCGCTGCGGCTTACCCATTTTTTTTCACTTCACTTCCCTGCTCTTCGCTTCTCTTCTATATAGACTATTTGTAATATGCAACAAATCAACGCGCAAATTGTAACATAAAATATTTACATTGCACTCGGCTGCGACCGCCCCCAAAAGCCTCTGGCTCTGGCTGGGTGTTTGGTTGGCGTTTTTTTTTTTTGGTGTGTTGCCTTCAATTTTGTTTATTGCATTTAATTTGCGCATTGTTTGTGCAGCTTTTAGATAATTGCGAGCATCAATTGCCAGTCAGTCAGGCTGGCAGGCTGGCAGGCAGGCAGGTCGCCCACACACGGTGGCAATCAAATTGCCGAGCCGCTGACATAGTGGGCGGCTAGGCAAAAGGTGGGCGGTGCACTGACCCGCACACACAACACCAAAAAAAAAAAAACGAAAACCGAATCCCAAACCAAATGAAAAGCCACAGAAATTCGCTAGCTTTCATTAAGTTTTCAACGCGATTTGCCTGTATATATAATCAACGTATAACTGTCTCTCTGTCTAGCTGTCCGTCCGTCTGTCCGCTTGTCCAGTTGCCTGTCCATTTGTTTGTTTGTTTGCATTTCACGCTTCAGCCTATGGCACCGTATGATTAATCTCCCACACGGCACAAGCGCAGCTCCAACGAAGCACAAATCAGACAGCCAGAACATAGAGAAAGACTCACACACACACACACACAGACATTAGAACAAATGATTTCCCACTGTTATTGATGATGTGTTGATTAGGTTCTGAAACACAACACACACTGGCAACAAATTGCGGCCATGTGAATTTCAAGTCGATTGAGTCCAGAGTTCGAGGGCTTTGCGTTTCATTATGAATTTCACTTTGAACTCGTGCCGCACACTCGCGCGGGGCGCCCTGCTGCTTCAGTGTATTCTGTTGCACATGTAACAACGGCAACGACCAAAAAATGAGCAAAAAAATTGGGTCATGTTTGCTCAAAATATGTATTTTGTTGCAAATTTGCAAGAATCATGGAAAACAGCGTGTGCTTAATGAATTGATCAGTCAAATATATATACATATATATATATATATATATATATATAATTTATATATAAATATGCATGTATGGTTTCATATTACAGCGAGCTGTCCAATAACCACAAATGCCGCAGTTACGCAAAATGCAATTATCATTTATTAGAAGTTCTCTGCAGCTGTCGCTTGGTTGACAAACAAAAAATATAAGAATGCCTTCAAGTTGGGGTCTATGCAGCACAGTGTATGCTCTTTAATTGAGACAAGCTCAGAGATTAATTGACTAGTTAGCTGCAAGTTTATATATAAGAAAAAAACGTATGTTTAAGAGTTTCTCTTTGTGAACTTCAATATAAAAAGCTCAGACAACACAATCGAATCAAAGTTGCTGTAATTTGGCAACCAAAACATTGTAAATATTTAATATATGTAATTATCTATATCAGCATCACTATTGTGGAAGCTTAGTGCCGAGAAAGCCTTTTTAAGAATAATATAATAAGCTAAAGAGGTATTTGATGTGTTCAATGCGAGCAAAAAGACCATGAAGAGCGTGAGGCCAGCTAACAAGATTTTCTAAGCAGAAAATAAAAAATATTTGCTTTGCTTTAACTACATTTTAACTGCAAATACAATGCTAAATCAAATAAGTTTTAACATGATTAAATGATTTTTTATATTATATATAATTTTATAAAAAATCTGTAATTTTTTGGCTACATAACAGCATTTTAAAATACATTTTTTTTAAATTAAAATATTTGAAAAAAAAGTTTAAGCTTTGTTATGGCTAGAAGTCCATATATTTCAAATATCATAAATAATTTATTTTATTTATTTATTAAAATTATCATAAATAATTTATTTTCGTTTACATTTCACAGTCGATTGAGATTAATTTCAGACAGTTTAAGTAGTCTTTGAAATTACTACACTTTGCCTTAAAACATATTTTGAAATTGGTCAAAAAACTTTTTTTGTTGTAACAGATTTGCTAAAAGTTTTGTATACATTAGATGGAGAGGTGGGAAGAGTAAACTGTTGTCTGTTCGATGCTGATAAATAAATGCCAAAGAATGATTAAAAATTGAAAATTGTTTCACTTTTCAAGCTTTGTACCCAGCTCAATTAAATAATATAACACAATTTATTTAAATGTAACCCAAATGGACTTCTGCTACTATTTTTGCTGGAAACATCTGCTATCACTTATCTGCTTTGAGCTTCGCAAATCTCATTTGTTTCCTGCTCTCTAAGTGATGTTCAGCTGTGCAATTGGCATAAGTTATGCTACATGACTTCTAATTAGTGGCAAAACAAATTTAGCTTTTAAATAAAAAAAATATAGGAATTTAACTGATTGAAAAAATTAATTGGCCTAACAAGTGAAACAAAGCGTAGATAAGTGCAATATTAATTGCAGCTGAATTATTTATATAATTAATATAATTAATCAACTGCTCGTTAGGAGAACACAAATATTTTGATAATCTTTGACCATAAATATTTTAAGCATTTCCTATAATTTAAGTGTAGAAAAAAATGGGAATTAATCGCATAATTTGCTGTATAAATAATTGCTGCATGGCTCGTTGAATGAATTGTCAACGCAGCATAAACTCGTCTCGTCTCGTCTCGTCGCTGTGTAATAAAATTTTTTGCCGACGTTTATTAAATCAAAATTTCATGCCAGAATTCCTGTATAAATTATGGTTGCATGGGCAATGGAAATGCAATGGACACACCCACACTTAAGTGGGCAGTCAGGCAGACAGTCAGTCAGTCAGTCAGTTGGAGCGTCTGTCAGTTTGGCTAATGGTCTGACCAATTGTCGCAAATTAGTAAGACCAACCCACACACACAAACACACACAGAGATACAGACATGTGCTGAGGTAAATGGCCAAAGTACTTGGCAGCAACACCTAAGGCCAATCACATGTACAACCAAAAACTAACGGTAAACCGTCGCAGAGGTGGGGAGAGCAGCACAAAAAAAAATACAGCTATAAACTTTACTGCTACAATTGGCAAATTGAAAATTGTGCGCTGGTGGTGCAGCCAGCAGCACAACCACAGCAACTGACTGAGCCACAGAGAGCGACGCGACCACAGCCATGGCCGGGCCTTGGCATAGCCCAGAGCCAAGTGCGCGCATGATGCGTTCAGACTGGAAGATAAGCTGCTGCGGGGCAACTCTGCCGCTGATGATGACGACCAAGTAGACGTTGCCGTTGCCGTTGCCATTGCCGTTGCCATTGCCAGTGCAGACGAAGATGCATTTGACCAGACGCAAGAAGTCGCAACATAGACGTTTCAATTTCAAAAACCATTTGGCCCAGCTAGACATTTTAATGAAGCGCCTGCCAGCGCTCAAAAGCTCGAGACGCATAACGGGCCAAGCCATAGCAGGCCAAGACCAGGCCAAGTCGGGCTAGACGTCCACGCATAGCAGCAACAACAACTAGCAGCAGCAGCAGCAGCAGCTCGTCACAGTCATAGGCTTGATAAGGTCGCAGTCAGTCAGCGGCATGCAAAACGAATGACTTAAGCAGCGAACTTGCTGGAGCTGCAGCCAGAGCCAACAACAACAACAAGAGCTAAAAGTGTCCATTTCAATGCCAGTCGTGAACGCACAGTTAGTTCTTAAGTGCTCGTAGCTATGTGTTAGGCGCGCGCTAGTGTCTGTGTGTGTGAGTGAATCATGTGGTTTAAGTGAGAGAGAGAGAGAGAGAGAGAGAGAGCGCGAGATATATGTATACACAGATATTTACACATTTTAATTAAACGACACGCACAATAAGTGCCACAATTTGTGTTGCTATTGTGACGAGAGTTGTTTGATAACTTTGTGACCTTTAAGCACAATTTGAGTTTGATTAAAGAGCGAGTTTTTGTGATTTTGAAGATCATGATGAGAGGGATGTCTTTTTAGCAATATACCAAAATTATATTTCAAAGTTGATATGCTTAGGTCTGAAATAAACTTTGATAACTGAAATTGTGGTAATTAAAAAAAATAATATCTATATTAATATATATTAATATTTGTATATATTTAATATATATCAACAATTTGCTTCGGCCCACCCTCGCACACGTCTTTTCAGTTTTCTTTGGCTATTTTCTGCTGTCACTTTCAAACTTTCGCTTTGATTCTTTTTGTTAGCGTTTCTCATTTCTAGACAGCCGCACGCCCACTCGAAAAATTTTCATGGGTTCTGCTTCGCGTGCTACACACAACTTGACCCTATTCAGATAGCCTATATAAACAACTATATGTGTGTATATATATTGTAATTAAAGTGAGCTTGATTGCCATCATAAAGCATGGGCCGTTGCTGTTTAGGCGTTAATTTTGGGTTCTACATTTGCCTTTTGGCAAATTATATGTTTCAATCTAAGTGCACTTTCTCTGGCCTTAGACGAAAAGTGAGTTGCGTCTATGGCCATTGTTGTTGCCATTGTTGTTGTTGCTGTTGTTGTTGTGGGCGTACACTTAATTGCTATTTAATGCCAAAATCGATTGCGGCTTACCTTATGCTTGACGTCGGCTTGTTTGGCTATTGAACTTCAATCACATCACTGCAAAGGAAGAGAGAGAGAGACGGAGAGGGAGTAAGAAAAAGAGAGAAAAATGCAAAATGAGTTTATTAAAATACTTGAAATTTAACAATATTTTATTGAGTTTTTATATTGCATAGAAATTCTATTTATAATAAAGTTTTGTCAAGTCGGAGATTCTTGGACTTCGACTCTTAGACATTGTGAGTTAGCACTTTGTATGCCACGCCCCTATTTTGCAGCACTTTTCTCTGCAGTTTCGTTTACATTTCACTTAATGACTTCAATGCAATTTGCTAAATGTTGGGCCAAAAAGTGAAAACGCGCGCCCACTTTTGCTTTCCTTCAACTTTCAATTTGGTGACTTAATTTCTTTGGTAACAACAACAAAAATAAAAAGTGCTGCAATAAAAGCTAATGAAATCGAACGCAAGCAACAACGGCTTTATTGTTGAAGCCAGTGTCCAGCCAGTTAAATGACTGGCGGCACAACAACAACAACAACAACAACAGCAACAAGAAATTTAGAGATCGCCAACAAGCTTTGCCCAAGAAATTATCAAGTGCAGTGCGCTTTGGCACTTTTACTTTCATTGTTTGTAGCCGATTGTAGCCATTGGGCTGATTGTTGCCTTTGTTGTTGTTGTTGTTGTTGTTGTTGTTGTTGTTGTTGTTGCTAACTACATTTTATGGTTCCAAGCAGCGTTCGTTGTTGGCAGCCGTAACACACAAAATTTTCACCAAAGTACTAAACTTTTAGGCCATTTTCCTTTTAGCAACAGCTAATGAGTAAAACGCTTTTGGCACCAAATCAACACAGCAACAATAACAACAACATGAGCATTAGCAGCAGCAACAACATCGTCTCAAAATTACAAAACGATTTGTCTAAAACGCTTTAGCTTCGATTTGTCTGGGAAAATGTTGCTGCATCTATCGTTGTGGCGTGTGATGAGAAAATAACACCTAAAATCAGCAGCAACACCAACAGCAACGGCAACAACTACAACAACAACTAAAACTATTGTTGCTGCCACTCGGTGTCTTATATAAGCAGCTTAAGCATACGCCGCATTGCCAGCTGCAAGCAAAGCAAAGCAAATCAAATGCAGCAGCTTAATTAAATGCAAATTAGCATGATATAGAGCTGAGCTAAGCGATACCCTTTGATAATTAGCATTTATCTTAGTCTTGATTCAAGCCCTTGAACATGGCAAATGGGAGAGAGCAAGCTGTGGGAGAGCGAGTAAAGGATAATTTAGACAACGAGAGAGGCAGAGTGAGAGAGATGGATGAAGCTGTTTAGTAAAGTTCTTAAAAATCGCATAGAAGGGCAGAAAAGAAAAAGAGAGAGAGAGACAGATCAAGAAAGAGAGATTGAGGAAGGGAGAGACAGAAAGAGAGAGAGAGAGATAAAGAAAGAGCTAGAGTGAGAGAGAGAGAGGGAGAAGAACTAGATGAAAAATTGCAGATGAAGTAAGAGAGAAAGAGACAGAGACAGAGAAATAGAGATATAAATATAATTAAGGAATGGAAAGAAAAGATATTTAGAGAGAAAATGAGAAAAGAGAGTATGAAACAAAAAAGAGAGGAAATCTCTGACTTCATTCTCTTTTCTTATTCGCTCTCTCTATCTCTCTTTGTCTCTCTTTTTCCCTTTTTAAGACATAAAGCTTGAGAGAAAAAGGCTTAGAAAGAGGCGCAGAAAGATGCAGAAAAAGCAAAAAAAGGTTATTCAGAGAGAGTGAGGAAAGTTTCATAAGTTACAAGAAAAAATTAAAAAGAATATCGAAAAGGAAAGAAACAAAGATTTAAAAAGAAAGAGAAATTGCACAAGAAAACAAAAAGAAGTTTTATTTATTTAAATTAGTTCAAATTGGACGTGGAAATATTTACACTCAATATTTTCAGGGCTTATAAATGCTCTACAATGGTTCCCGGCATCTTAGGTATATGCAAATTATACACAAGAATTATAAATTCTAATCAATTTATTTGAAATACCTATTCCAGTACATGATTTCATAGATGTGTGTGCGCTTGAACGCAATTCTCGAGGCAATGTGGTAGAAACTTCAAGTCAAAGTTTCCCAGCGAGCGAACAAAGCGACTGCGCAGTGTTGTTCAGTGTTGCGTTGCAATGTGGGCGTAACTGAAACTGTGACTGTAACGAGCTGCGAGATGGACGTGGGACGGGAGGGGGGGCAGTGCGGCGACTCGAGGCAGAGTGCAGCATGTAAAACGTTAAATTATCGCAGTTAATCTTATGCACAGGCCGCTGTTGTTGTGTTGGACTTGAGTTAGCTGCTACTCGTATTAAGTGCAGGCACAGCAAACATGCCAAGACAACAACAGCTAGTTTGGCAAACATATCAATTAGCAGGCCGTGCTGATTCAAAAAACAAAAAAAAAAGCAAACAAAAAACAAAAACAAAATACTTTAAACTCAATTCAATAACAATTTTTTATGTATTATTCCATATGAAACTTTTCTAAACTTTTTCAATTCGTTCATTATGGGTTTCTTCTGCAGCGAGGAGATGGATCTGTGCATACTGCTGTTGCACATGGAGAACGCCTTCAATTGCCTAATGGAGCTGGCACATTTCGGTGGCATGCAGTTTAATAACGTATTCGAAGCGGATCACGTCTTCAATGGCTTGTATACGAAAAAAGTGCTGCAGTGCAACGATTTGCTGCGTATTGTCGACTATTTGACGGCACAACTAAAGAAAGCGAATATCACGGAAGTGTATTATGCCGATGTGGATACAGTGTATCGGCCACACGAATCAAACGTATCTGAGTATGATCTCAAGCTGCGTCGTTACTATAAGGATTCGACAGCAGTGAACGAACACTTTACAGCGCTGGATAAACAGTATATCTACATGATGGAAAAAAAATTAGCATTGGACAAAGTAAATGACTTTCTGCCGAGCGAGGGATCCAATTCGAAAGCGCCTCTTTATACGGAGGAGTCAATTGTTCAACTTATAAAGGATCAATCTGAGGGTGATCCGAGTAGCTTAAAACTGAATTATATTCTGGGTTGCATGCTCTTGGAGAAGTTTGCAGCATTTGAGCTGATGGTCTATCGTTTCTTTGGCCGAATTGTGCTCGTCCGCCACACTGAGTTGCCAGCGCAGACCAATGACTCGGGCGATCATCACCCGGATGCAGCTCAAAAGTGTGTTGTATTTTTGATAACCAACTCGGCAGCGATTCGTTCGAAATTGCTTAGGCTCTGTCTGGCATTTCATGTTGTCATCTTTGAGTGTCCGGAGAAGCCAACCCAACGTGCAGAGATGATCGATCGACTGGAAAAGGATACAGGCGATTTGGAAGTGGTGCTGGCAGAAACGCGCAAAACGAATGAACGATTGCTAGCTAATGTTGCCAGCGATCTGTATATAATGCGCATTAATTTACGCAAATGCTTGAGAGTTTACGACTTGCTGAATCGCTTGTATGTGGTCGGTTTATTGGATCATCCAAAATATTTACAAGCCGAATGCTATGTGCCCACATTGCTAATCGCCGGCGTGGGCGATGCACTCGAGAAGGGAATCAATTCATCGGGCGGCGAGGACAAATACACAGCACCGCTATTGGTCAAACGTACGATCCATCAGCCACATATCCCGCCCACATATTTTAAGCTGAACAAATTTACGCACGGCTTTCAGAATCTCATCAATTCGTATGGCATCGCCGACTATAGAGAACTCAATCCGGCTCCATATACAATTATAACATTTCCATTTCTATTTTCCATAATGTTTGGCGACCTGGGCCACGGCATCATATTGACCATTTTCGCCTGCTTTATGATCTTTCAGGAGAAACGTATCGAGCTCATGAATCGAACGACAATCAGCGAGAATGAGATAATAAGTATTCTGTATAGCGGACGCTATATCATTTTGCTAATGGGCCTATTTTCTATATATATTGGCTTCATCTACAATGACGTCTTGTCGCGGTCAATGAATTTATTCACTTCCAGCTGGGCGTGTGTGTACAATGACTCAACAGTCATGGATCTGACCACACAATTGACATTGAATCCCAATGATCCGCGCTTCTATACAGGTCATCCATATCCGTTTGGCGTCGACCCCATATGGAAAATCAGTGGCGAAGATTCCATAATCACTTTCAACTCGCTCAAAATGAAACTGGCCATCATTTTGGGCATATCCCAAATGATGTTCGGACTCTCATTAGCGGCAGCCAATTGCATTCATTTGAATCGTAGATCTGACTTATTTCTTGTCGTTATTCCACTTTTTATCTTTATGACCTGCTTGTTCTGTTATTTGGTGTTCCTCATCTTCTTCAAGTGGCTAACTTATGGGGGCTTGAAGCAAGCTCCGCACAATTCGGCGTGTGCACCGTCTGTGCTAATCACCTTCATCGATATGATGCTGATGAAGACATCGGAGTCGGAGGAAAAGGACTGTAATGTGGGCATGTTTCCACATGAGCGAAATTTGGAATATATTCTCGTCTTTGTGGCCTTTGCCATGGTGCCATTGTTATTAGCCGGCAAGCCGATCTATTTAACGTATCGGCAACAGCAGCTGATGAAGAAACGCAAAAAGGAACGGGATCTGGAGGAATTGCATCGCAGCAGTCGGAACACCATTAAGGAAATGCGTTCCTCCTTACGCTACACCGTCGATCCAAGGGATTCGGAACGGCGCTCTTTGCACCACAGGAATCAAGTAGTCACCGAAGCAATTGAGTTTGATATGTCCGAAATTTGGATACATTCGGGCATACATACGATTGAGAGTGTTTTGGGCTCTGTTTCGCATACCGCCTCGTATTTGCGCCTGTGGGCCTTGTCGCTAGCTCACAGCCAATTGTCGGATGTGCTATGGACTATGGTGCTCGAGAAGGGCCTAAAGAATAATTTATCACTCTACACTGGCGTTCCCATGCTAGTTGCATCCTTCTTCATCTGGGCCATATTAACGGTCGCCATATTGGTCATGATGGAGGGCTTGTCGGCATTTTTGCATACTCTGCGCTTGCACTGGGTCGAGTTTCAATCGAAGTTTTACAATGGGGCCGGTGAACCGTTTCGCACCTTTTACTTTCCACCCTCAACTATACGTGGCTAAGCCAATGTTTTCTATGATAACTTGCTGTTGTATTTTATGTATTATTTTATGGGTATTGTAGCTTAATAAATTTTTAAATGAATGCTTAATGCATTTTTAGGCATTAGGTCTTGGCTTAACTGCAAATATAGCGAAATGAGCAACTACCTTAAGTATATTTCTAGAAATTATATATGAGTTTTTTAGTTACCCAAAAAAAAAACCCATCAGTTGTGGCCGAAAAATTTATAATAAATGACAATTTCAGCAGTGAATAATTAATTTTGCACTGGGCAACTTTTGAATCTTAATGATACCAACAATCTTTACAGAAACAACTATAAAGAAACCCAATGAGAGTTAGCTAAAAAAGACAGCTGTTTAAACACATATAGAAGAAGGAACAATTCTTCCATATACTGCTTCCTAAACAATATTTCTATAGCTTAAACCAAACTTTCGATAAAAAATTAATTTCAGAAAACTTTGCCTAAGCCTCTGACTTAAGCAAAACACAACTAAAGCAAGCCAACGACTGCAAAAATCTATAAAAAATTATTTAGAAAAATTTTTTTATTTTTCATTTTAATTTTTTTATTCTAAGCTGGGCACAGAATATCTAATGCCGCTTAAAACAACCCTTAATGTCTAACTCCAGCAAAAATTCAAGCTGCCAGCTGCCAGCCCAAAAGAAACTCAATTAAAGCCAGCTAAAAATAGTGTTAGCTTTTTAAGCATAGCCTGACAATCCTGGCAAATGCTCATAATTAACAGCAACCAGCAGCAACTGGCAGCAACTGGCAGCAACTAGCAGCAACTAGCAACTAGCAGCAACAGCTGCTGCCGTTGCGGCCCACGCAAATGACCAGCATCTCTGCATTTGTGGACATTCCAATGCAATTAGCATTGGCAGCCAGGCGGGCAGAGTTAGCAATGGCTAAGGCCATAAACCAAAGTAAACTTTAAACAATTTCCATTTATTTGGTTTATGCCACTCGCAACAGCACAGCGGCCATTGCCAGCTGCATGTTGCACGTTGCACGTTGCACGTTGCTGGGTGCCAATGCGGGCGCAAAAGTCGTCGACCCTTTTCAAGCAGTTGCTGCTGCTGTTGTTGTTGTTAATGTGGCTGCTGCTGCTGCTGCTGTTCTTGTCGTAGTTGTTTAGCTTGTTTTCCTATACTCTATACGCCACAGCTGAGTATTTGCTGGCGTGACTGCTCAACTTCTTGTTGTTGTTGCTGCTGCTTGCTGTTGCCGCTCTGTTTGCGCCGCAGCCGCCATTAACACCCACGCCACAGCAAAAAAAAAATAACATTGTTGTTGCCCATTGGCGTTGCAAGTCTTTGGCATAAATTATGAACAGCAACCGATGACGCATGCAGGCCTAAGTAGACTTGTTGCATGCATAAATAACTTTCGTTAACCAAGCACATGAACCTATTAGATCAACGCTAAACAAAAGACACAGCAACCAGCAGAGAACCGAGAGCGCAGGCAGCGCTGAAGTTGAAGCTGAAGCTTGAGCTGCAATGCATTTTCATGATCAGAGCAGGTTTCCAGCTACGCAATGGCTGTGGCCAAACAGGCTTTTGGCTATGGCTTTGGCTTTGGCTTTTTTAGACATAGCACGCGCCATTGTTTAGTTTTTTTCTTTCTCTATTATTTTTTTTAGCAGTACGCAGAAGTTCGTTGCCTAAGTCTTTTGTTTATATTTGGTAAGTTGTGTTCTAATGCGCAACGCTTCATGACCATTTCTGTGCGTGTGTGCGTGAGTTTGTGTGTGTGTGTGTGTGTGCGTCCACAATGGGCAGCTGCTTAGCGCGTTTATGGCCAGCAATTGTCAAGTCCCTCGGGTGTGCAAGCCATGCAGTGCAAGCAGCAGAAGCAAGGTCAACGTCGTTGTTGCTGCGGCGGCTGCTGCTGCTGTTCCTCTTGTTGCTGTTGAAGTTGGCAACATTGTCAGTCGCATGGGGAAAATCAATTTTAAACTAAAAATGTCGCATTGCTGTTTGCTAGCTTCCACACATCACGTCACGTTCCGCGCTGGGTCATCAAAGCCTTAAAGGGCGCTGAGCAACGGCAGCAGCTTCTATGTTGCTGTTGTCATTGTTGCCAGGCTTTTTGTTCTTATTTTTTCATTTTTATTTATTTATTTTTTTTTTTTGCTATTGTCTGTCTGGTCTGCTTTTGGGCTTTACATGCCGGGAAGGTGTTAAATTCAACTCAGGCACAGCCATTCGAAAAAGCTTCAAGCCTCAATGTCAATGGACGCTAAAGAATTTCTGCCACAGCAGAAGGACATTTGAGCTACGTGGTCTGCCTCGCTAGCTCTCTCTCTCTCTCGCTCTCCCTGTCTCTCTCTCTCTCTGTCTTTAGAACTGCCCAAGGCACTCAAGTGCTTACCTCACTTCAAAAAGGCAAAAACTTTTCTGTTAGCTGCCTCTCATTCAAATACAAGTCAAGTGTGCGAGAGCCACGACTACCTGATGAAAACATCAACAAAAAATAAAAACAAATGAGCACCGGAACAACAACAACAACAACAACCAGGCATAACTGTAAATAGCGCATTATTAACCAAATTAATTAACTTGCCACACCGTTTGCGCTTTTTTTTCTGTTTGCTGCTTTTTTTGAGAATGAGACGAAAAAGCAAGTGGAAAAATGCCATAGAAATTGCCACAAATTGTGCATTGTTTTTTTTGCTGTTTTTGGTCCGCCTTTTGCTTGGCCTTTTGTTAGCTAATGTTAATTAAATTTAACAGCCTCACGCCGCTTTGCACTTAGCAGATTCTTAACGCAACGGATGCCAACAATTGGCCGCAATTCATGAGTCCAAAACTGATGAGAATTTTCGCTTGCTGACGACTTTCACTGTCCACAAAATGCTTTAATTAAAATTGCAAAACAAAAAAAAAAAGCAAAAACAAATCAGAAAAAAGCCAAAATTAATTTTAACTATGTCGGAATTTGTATTTGGCAATTTAACCGGTTCGCATTTTGTTTTAAGTTAACAGCAGCAGTGGGAGAGGGCACAGCCCGAAAAAGTGAAATTTTATTTCAAGCATTTAGCAGCTTATTAACAGACAGAGCAGCCAGAATTTAATAAGAAACGAATTCCCATATAAAGTTAGCATTCAAAAGAGAAATGCCCCGAAAACCCATTTGATAAATGCAAATTAAAAACAAAAGAAGCTGAAAAAAATGGGAATATCTGCAAAAATAAATCAAGTAGAAGAAATAAAACGCTGCGTGATCAACTGAAGATTTAACTCTCAAATGAAAGAGCACACTTAGCAGCACATTAGCATTCCATAAGCTTATCACTCAAAGGTAATCTAGTTAATGTTAGACCTAAGCGTCGGTGGGATCAAACGTTTCTGCCAGATTTAGGCAGGTGCTGCGCATGATAGAAAAATAAAGGAGATGCCGTCGTAGGCATTAAGATTTATGTAACTATAATCTAATATAAAATGCTTATGTTTAACTAGTTGATAAAGCAGCGAGATCCATAAATAATACATAAATAAAAAAATTATAAATAAATAATAAAAAATTCAATTTAAAAAGTTTCAAGTTTATGATTGATTTTTTATTATATGTATATGTAAATATAATTATAAAATAATCTATATCTTATATAAAATAATCTAGAACATGTTCTTGATTTTTAGGATAGTATATAAGCTATAAGAAAATGACTGCATAATATTCTCTTGGGCAGCGCTTAGAGATAGCAAAAGCGCGAATATTGCTAAATTACTTTTGTTTTAAGTAAACTTTCTGAATCAAATTTATAGAACTTCATAATGACACTCATTTTTATGGTTTTTAAGCTAAGAAATTGAATCAACTAATTTTTTTTCAATTTTTTAACCTTCAAAAATGTGCCTCGATTGGCTTTGGCTAAGCTTTAGAAGAAGTCAATAGGCAACCTTAAATTTTTTGTCAATCTGTAGAAGTGTTCTTCAGTCAATAGTCTCTCTCTGTTATTCCTTCTGTTAAAACCCCAAGCAATAGAGTATCTTACATTCCTCCTTGGCATAATTCACATTTGATTTACATGAACATAAATTATATGCTACAAATGCTCAACTCATGTCGTTAAAAATCAATAAAGAAATACAAAATACAATGGATATATATGTTTATATATCTATCTATATATATATAAACAATACTGCTATCTCAATTCAGTGCAAAATTTATTTAATTTCACATGAACTTCGTTTGGCGGCAAGTTCGTTACTTCAGTCTTTTGTCTTGCCGTCGCATGCATAATGAGAATGCGAACGACAACAGACACACATATATGATTATGCGTGCGTGCGCATGTATGTATATATACATAACAAACTGTATAATGCGAACGTATACGTATATATATATATGTGTCAATTACAGCACGATTTTTGGCAAATTTGCTTGACGCTGACACATTTTGAAATCTTGGCAGCACCGAATTGTGGGTCAGCTGCGATACCGATTTATGTCGTCGGCGACAATAAATTTGTCAGCTTTATTTACTTTTCTGTTTGTTCGAGCACCGTTAAGTAAACGAAATGCATGATTTGTGCTTTATAATGAGGGCGCGAGCAGACGCTGAGCAGGATGACAGCAACGACGATGATGATGACGATGAAGACATCGGCACAGACGCGTTGTATATTTTATAAAGCTCTGGGATTTACAATTTATTTTGGCAATATTTCAGTTAAATCTGCATTCAATTGGTATGTAGCAGCATACGAACAGCGTTAGCCATGAAAGTATGTGCTGAATTGCAGATAAAGTGAATGAATTACATGTTAAATAAGTGAGGCAAGCTATCAGCTGTTGAGCCTGTTGCTAGCTGTAGCCTAATGTGTGTAGGTGAATGAAAATATATGTATTTGTAAGCAAGGAACTCTAACTATGTATTTTTTCACACATATCAGTATGTATTTGAATCTATATAACTGTCTCTATATATATATATATATATATATCTGTAGCTGCACCTGTGTATCTTAATGCATGTATCATATATCTTGTATCTATATATATATATGTATGTCTCTATATCAATGTATTAGTATCTATGCATTTGTATCTATATATGTATGTATCCGTATCTATATATCTGTATTTGTATATGTGTATATATATATATACATATGTCTCTGTATCTACTTCTCTTCATCTTGATCTTAATTTATGCATGAATATCTACATATGTAGCCGTATCTATGTATATGTATCTATGTACCTGTATCTATATATGTATATCTCTACATCCATCCCTATCTAAGTAAATCTGTGTCTATGTCTATGTCTATAAATGTATCTTTAGGCATGAATACTTATTTAACTACTTGTATCTACATATCTCTATATAACTGCAGCTATATCTCTATAGCCTTATCTATGTATGCACATCAATCTATATATTTGTATCTTTTTAAATATTTGTTTGTATATAAATCAATGTATCTTGGAGCATAAGTGTGTAACTATTTATCTACATCTATTTCTTCACTTAAAAGTAACTATATTATGCATGTCTTTATACTTATATTTTTTCATATATATTTCATATATATAAATAAATTTTGCATACATATTTACATACATACGAATCTATGTGTAACTACATGAATCTCCAGCATCACAGTTCTGGTCACAAGTGCTACGTGTGTGTGTTTACCTGTGCGCGCGCGCGCTCCAGTTGCCAGTTGGAATCAAAACATCACGAAATCTCGTTAAAAACCACAGCGCAAAAGCAAATACGAAACACAAATATGTACCGTTAGCTTTGTTTTAACTGCGGGCAGAGCCAAGGAAAAAAACCAAAAAAAACCTCAGCTAAAAATAAAAAAGCAATAGGCAAACAAAAGCAACAAACGACGGCATTGACCAGCCAAGTGGGCAGCAGTTGCTCTGCTTCTAGACCCGGTCAATTGAAGCGCTGGTAGCCAGCTTTTCATAATTTGCTACAATTAATGTTGTGAGTGTGTTGTGTGGGGGGTTAACTGATTCAAGCACTTGACAAACTGCAGCGCAGGTGGATGGACAACTGTTGCAACAACAACAGCAGCAACAGCAACAGCAACAGCAACAAGCAGCAGCTTTTTGACCTTCGCCTGACAGCCTAACGAAATGCAGCTCAAGTGCTAAAAAAAATGCTTAAACTTCACAGCCAAACACTTAAACACGAAGTTCGTTGGCTGTCTGCCATTTGAATGACGTGCCACAGCAGCAGCAGCAGCAGCAGCAGCAGTAACAATAGCGTGCAATTACAGCAGCAACAACAACAGCAGCAACAGCAGCAGCAGCAACTACAATTGGTGTCAAATGCTACCGTAACACGCCACAAAGCAAAACTGCTGCCAGAATTTATTGGCGCTACTTGAGAAATTAGCTAAAAACAGAATCAAAATGAATTAAGCTGGAGACGGGTGTCAGCGCTTGCATCATACTCGTCCACTGCCTGGAAATTGCTAAGGATATCACATAATTTGCAGGGCGAACTATGTGCATCTATCTACTTTTCTATTTATATATCTATCTATCTCTATTTCTATCTTTCTATCTGTAAATCAATATATCTATCAATCTGTATCAATCAATCTATATATCTATATATCTATCTATCTATCTATCTATCTATCAATATTTCTATCTTGCTATCTATAAATCAATATATCTATCTATCTATAAATCAATATATCTATCTATCTATCTATCTATCTATCTATCTATCTATCTAACTATCTATCTAACTATCTATCTATCTATCTATCTATCTATCTCTATTTCTATCTTTCTATCTGTAAATCAATATATCTATCTATCTATCTATCTAAAAATCTATCTATGTATCTATCTATCTATCTATCTATCTATCTATCTATCTATCTATGTATCTATCTATCTATCTATCTATCTATCTATCTATCCATATATCTATCTCTATTTCTATCTTTCTATCTATAAATCAATATATATATCTCGCTATCAATCAATCTATCTATCTAGCTATCAATCAATCTGCATATCTATATATCTATCTATCTCTCTATATCTATTTATCTAACTATCTAGCTATCGGTCTAACTTCGACTTGTTCTCAAAGAGAAGGCCAATATATAATAAGTTAAAAAGAAATGTTTTTCTAAGCTCTCAAGCAGTAAAACATGGAGTTGTATCTGAATCATATGCAGAATCTCGCAGCATAGGCCTTGATCCAGAAGGCTGTATTAGCAAATAAATATTCAAGTCTAAAGCTCTAGGTCATAAATTAAAATTTGTATATGACAACTCCTAACAAAAATCCTGATTTATATCGAGACTCTATCAAACTAAGATGTGAGCACAACTTTCAGGTTTTCAGTCCTGCAAAAATTTAAACAGACAAAACGTAAATTGCTGAAAAGCCAATATACTCCACTTGTTTCACAGCATGAACGAGTGTAACATCAAGAATAAGCGCTACATAAATAATTATGAAGGCAACTAATTTCACTTTACAGCATTAGAGTGAAATGTCGCGGCAGACAGCGCAATTTGCAACCGTTTGCTGCCGGAAAAAAACCAAATGAGAAAAAGAAGTGGTAAAAAAATTAAAAAGAAAGATAAAAATGTTGTCTGTAGAAACGTTCAACGAATCCGCAGCCGCCCACGCAGCAGCGCCATAAATAAGTCAACATCAGCATCAGCATCAGCATCAACATCAGCGAGTCGCTTAGCGGCAGCAGCAGCCGCAGCAGTTGGTAATAAATTTGAGGCGCGTGGGCTATGGCCCGAACAGCGTCGTGCGACAAATGTCAGCGGCAAATGAGGCCACGCCCCGAAACAGCAAAAGAATAATTTAAAGTGCGTCATCAAGTAGGAAGAGCTATAAGCACACTACACACACAGCTTAGGCCGCAATTTCAATTTCAATAAGCCTCCAGTTTATGACTCAAGTCAAGATGTGACCAAAAAACTATTAAAGAAAACCATTAAAGAAAAGTGAGCGCACATATATGTTTTTTATAAACTGTTTATGGTCACAGAACTAGGCCTCATTAACATACGTGACACACACACACACACACACACACACACACATATCATGCAGAACAGCCGCCATTAAGCTAAAGCATTTAGCACTTGGCCTCCACTTAGCTTCAGCTTTGGCTGCTTCTTGCCAATGAATTGACACATTTGGCACAGGCTCAAACGAAATTTTGTGCCACATATACTGACACTCATATATATCTTTATATATACATATTTTTAGTCATAGCAATACATCCTAACTGACAGCAATTGCAGATGTGGCAGCAAGGAAGCTGTGACCAAAATTGCGGTCTGCTCAGCTAAGTGCTGTACTTTATATGCACAGCTAACACATATATGCTCAGATACATATATATATATATATATATATATATATATATATATATATATATATATATATATGTATATATATCTTTGGTTATGCATAGCTCTATGTCAACTTAAACTTACAATAACCAGAGGCATAAATCTATTGTGAACTGACACAAGACGTCGAGCAGCTCTTGTGGGCAAGTTGTGCATTATATCCATGTTTATATTTGGATATATAAATATGTATGTGTGTGTGTATGTGTGTCTGCTTGTCAATTTACTGCTGCTGTGAGCTGTGCTCAAAGACAACTCCAGAGTCTCTGCAGTCAGTCTTAGGGAATAGACATATATGTATGAAATATATAAAGTACACGCATGAATTGAGTCTGAAAGCCAAATAATTGCGAATTCTATATTTCTCTTTAATTATTAACTCTTCAAATTACAAAACATTTCTGTTATGTTTCCTAGAATATCTACTTACAAATTAGCATATTGGCTTGTATAAACACTTGAACTGATTTGTGTTTTAATTAAAGCGTGGCTTATTGTTGCTTAACTAAGCTTTAGTGCTGCAATGCCTAAGGAAAACCAATAAGAGTCGAGAGAGCTCCACTTGTAGATACCCTGGAGTTACCATATATATTATGCTCTCTCAATCTAGCCTGAATGCCAGCCTTCAATCTGGGCATAACAACTAAAGGTTTTAGTTCTGTGTTCATATTCTGCAAATTTAGTTTTAAGTACACAATTTTTGAAATGTTTGTATGAAAAAAAAGTCTTAAATGTTTCTATTGTCCTGAAGTTCGCTTCATCAATCTGCTTCAAGCCACCAAATTTTGATGAAATTTAGTTTCCCATTTCGTCTCAATATTCGCACATTTTGCTGCAGCTTTTATGCACTCTACTCATAAATTAGAGCCATATACTTAATGTCTTTCTATACGCACTTCCATTTCCATAGCTCACCTCAAATAAAAGTGACTTATAGCCAAAGTAAAGCTGCATCAAATGCAGCTTAAAAGCGTTAATAGCTTGCCTAGCTTAATGGCAACTAAATTCAGCTGAGTTCTATTTATTTAATATTATTTTATCATTTATTTTATTTAACTTATTTATTGCACAGCATCAGTTTTTGTGGACAGATTCCCAAGTTGCAGCCGAAATGACAAAGTCCAAAAAAAATAGATTTATTAACTAAGTCAATGGCAGCCACAAACGCCCATGTCCATTCATATATAATATATATCTACTTAAATAGCTATTCAAGCATAGACATATATGCTTAAAAACTTACCCGTAAAGACTGTATAGCTTGACTTTTCAACTGGTAGCTAAAATGACAAAATATTTAAGCAGAATTTATTAGTAACTTATGCCAAAACCAAATATAAAACAAGTACTTAAAATATATTTAGAAACATTTGCATTCTTGAGCGCAAAAGTTAAGCACAATTTGTCACGTCAGTTGTTGACTGAAATTATCACTCGAAACTGATCTATGAGCTACTTTGAGCACACACCCACTTTCTATGACAAATCTGTGCTGCTGGCAAACGCTCAAATTAGACTCAAAATCATGTATGTACATGCAACAGCAGCAACAGCAGCAGCAGCGGCAGCAACACGTACTACGATTCGCTTGTTAACTCATCCAAAAAGTAAACCACATTCTTTAGAGCATTTGAAAAAGCAGTAGAAGAGCAGCCACAACAGCAGCAGATAGGAAAAATAAAGCAAACACAAAACAACATGCGAGGCATAAAAAACATCGCAGCAACAGCAGCAGCAGCAACAGCAGCAACACAAAAAACACGTTCAGCGCGTGTAGAAGCATGAGGCAAAAACATGAGGTAGGCAGGCTGGCCGGCCTGGCGGAGGGAGGCGTGGCATGGCTTTAACTTTTAGCAAAATGCAAAACAACATCGGAAAGACGAGAAATCTGGCTACTGTAATTTGTCTGCCCCGCCATAGACACAACATAGACACGCGCTCTCTCAGCTCAGCCGATTTCAATTCCGTTGTCCAAGTGCGAGTCCAAGTTTGCAATGCAGCCACTCTGCGATTGCTGCTCCACTTTTAGGTGTGTGTGTGTGAGTGTGTGTTTGTCGTCTCTTGTTGTGCGCCTAGCTGTCTCCAACTATTTTGGCTACAAAGAAAAAAATCAACATCTAACAGCAACCGAGTCGCCGCCTTTGTCGCTGAGGTCAATTTTTATGTTGCAGCCATTTCTCACAAACAAAACCAAAAAAAAGAAATAATCAAATATAAAGAAAAGAAAAACTTCGTTTCGCTGGGCCTTTTTGTATGCCCTGGAGCACGTTGAAAATGTGTAAGCAGGGCATATTGGTTTAGTTCAAAGCATATGCAACACTCAGAAGGTGCCCTGGGCCTAACAATCACATTGGATATATTCGTACTCAGGATTCACAGCAGAGTTGGTATAGAGCTGTCTGTCTATCTGTCCGTATGACTTTATCTCTGTTTCTCTGTCTGTCTGTTTATATGTCTGTATATCTGTATGTCTGTATGTCTGTATGTCTGTATGTCTGTATGTCTGTATGTCTGTATGTCTGTATGTCTGTATGTCTGTATGTCTGTATGTCTGTATGTCTGTATGTCTGTATGTCTGTATGTCTGTATGTCTGTATGTCTGTATGTCTGTATGTCTGTATGTCTGTATGTCTGTATGTCTGTATGTCTGTATGTCTGTATGTCTGTATGTCTGTATGTCTGTCTGTCGGTCTGTATTCCATATGTCCATATGTCTGCCTGTCTATATGTCTGTCTGTCCATATGTCTCCCTGTCTATATGTCTGTATGTCCATATGTCTGTCTGTATGTCTGTCTCACAGTCTGTATGTCCATCCGTCATGTATATCAATTTGTGACTCAGCTTACCTATTTTTGTGACTGTCTTTCTTTCTCAATCTCCTTCTAACCATATGTATTAACGCATTAACCTTGTTGCCTAAAGGAACTAAAAAGCTTTTTCCGTAAACTCTTAGCTTACTCGCCTCAAATCAGCGATAACCTTTCCTTTTGCCATAAAATTAATAAACATCAATATCAAGCATCATTTAATTAAGCATATCTCACATGTTTTAAGCGTCTAACTCCGCTGTTCATACTCGATATATATGAGAATATATACATATTCTCTTAAGTCAAGAGTTTTCCTGCCTCAAATTCATAACAAAACTCTATGATCATAACATATCATATCCTAAGCTCAAGTTCGGCGCGGGTATCTCTTAGTCTGGCACATTCAACTCACTTGTTTTATATTTTTTATTTTTTTATTTCTTTTTTCGGGGCAGGCTACATTTTTTATGCCGTCTGGCGCACTTACAAGTTACGTATGAGTGCGATGTGTGTGGCTGTGTGTGTATGGCTGTGTGTGTGGGCTTTTGCTGCAGTCAACTTTTTAGCTTGCCTCTTGGCCGGCAAACACTTCCATTTCAACTTCAACTACAACTATAACAACTAGCACTATATAACAACTACAAAACTGCCTCAATTGCTTGACACTTCAGTTTGTAATTAGTTTTGTGGCCATGCATGAAAATTTCATTTATTTTTTAATAGCTCCACGAACAATGGCCACGTGCTCAACTGTTGTTTTATCAACTTGCTTATGATTTCGTCTGCAGAACAAGAAATTCAAGTGGAAATTAAATTATGAGCATGAGCTTCAAGTTGAATAATATATTAACTCATCGAATGAAAGTTTATTACAATTTTGTATTACATTTAGTTAAGGAGAGAGTTTTAATTGGCCAATTCATTTGTAAAATAGCTTAAGTTATCAAGTTACGTTTCAAACAACTTTAATTCAATTTAATTTTATAGAAATTCAAAAGCTGCAGATCTAAACAAACCTATGAGAAAGTTTCACTCTGATTAATAAAAAATTAATTGTAAAATTCTTTATAATGCATAATAGCAATTGTTATTTAATTTCTAACATTTTTATTCAAAAATTAAAAATAATTAAATTTCCCAATTAGCAATAAATTCATTTTATCATTAACAAAGCGCAATAAAACTTTTAACTGAATTCAAGCTAAGTTCCAGCTATGTTCCACCATCATTCTAGCTATATTTTATGTGCTGTATTTTTTTAAGGCTGTACTTTTCAGCTGTCTTTTTGTTATATTTTAGTTATATTCTACTCAGAGCATAGTCCAGCTATACTCCTTTAAGTCTTCATTATTCATTTATAATTTAGCTTTATTTTTGTTACATCCTAAATAATATCTAGATACATTTTAGTTATATTTTAGTTATATTCGAGTCATATTCCAACTATTTTATTAATCTATTTTATTAATATTCCAATCATATTCTATCATTACAGTTTTATTCTAGCCATATTTGAACATTATTGTTTTATAGTTCAGATTCACTTTATTCTAGCTTTATTATATGAATGCTGCAGCTCTATTCGTTTAAGGCTATATTTTATAGTTATATTCTTCCTTTCAGCTACATTCTAGTTCTACTCTAACTGCGTTCTTAATCTATTATATTTATATTTAAATTATCTTTTATCATTTCAGCAATATTTTAACTATGTTTATTAATGGTTCTACATAAATAGTTCAAATATATTCTAGCTCTATTATTTATATATTCTAGCTTTTTTCTATTTATAGTCTAGCTATATTACATATAAATATTCATGGCTAATTCTAGCTACACTTTAGTTCAATTTTATACATATTCCACTCATGTACTAAGCCTAGGCCTTTTTGCTATCTATATAGCCTCTATTCTAGCTTTTTTAAAGCCATATTCTCGCTTCTCTTTTAATTTTATTCCCCTCTTATGCTTTACCTTTTCTGGCTACACTCTAGCTGCATTTTAGCTACATTCCAGCTAAATTCTAGCAGTATTTGCTTGCAGTTTATTACTTTAGTTTGCTTTTGTTATTTAAATTTCATGCTTAAATTCCTTTGTGTACAACTTCAATGCACTTGAGAATAAATGAAATAAAGTTTTCCCTAGCTGCTGCTTCTCCCCCAGTAAAATATCAAGCTAATGACATTATTTACATGCAACCTTGAACTGTTGCTTGATAGAAGCAAGCCGAAAGTTGTGTGCATGCACAACGAGCCTTGGCACACACACACTCGCACACACTCGATAATACTCAATTGTTACAATAAATTGCTTCTGCTTGTGAATCCTGATTCTCCCTTGGCACTTTCAAGTGTCTGCCAATCAGGGCAAATCAAGTTGAAATTATTGACAATAACAATAATGGCAAATAATAATCAGTTGCTGTTGCTGTTGTATTTTTTTCTTTTTGCATGTGGCATGCAACGTTGTCTGCCAAGGGCTAAACAACGCCAACAACTTGCTAAGAAGAAAAGTGAAAATTCTTGTCTGCTGCTTTTCCGAGTGAAACTCAGAGCAGAGGCAAGGCACGTCGAGGCGAGCCAAGGCAGGTGAAATAAATTTTGGTATCTGATACTTTTACTTGCCATTAAGCAGGGCTATTCATATATGCCACAGCACACGAAGTAGTAGCTGCAACTGCAACTCGTGTTGTTTGCTGCTGTTCGCACATTTTCTCATTTATGCCCGCCATGAGTTTTCATAAATTCATGTGTGTGTGTGTGTGTGTGTGTGCGAGTGTGTTGCATTACATTTGATTACAAACTGTGCAGCCGACATGTGCCACTTTTTGTTGCAGTTGAAAGTAAAATGAAATACAAAACAACAACAGCAGCAACGGCAGCGGCAACTGGAACTGAGCATGCAGCATGTGGCATGTGGCATGTGGCATGAGTAGCATAAATATACGTATAAAAACCTAAAAACCTATGAGAAATGCATGTAAATTCACTAACAGCAACTAGAACACTCACAGCAGCAACAGCAACAACAACAACAACAACAACTGTTGCATGTTGTAAACTTTCAAAGGCATCGAAAATGCTTTTGTACCAGCAGCAAATATGAAAAGTTTAAATACACAGGTAATTACCTGAGCACAGCTTGCTGCCAGTTGCAGTTGCTGCTACTGCTGCAGCTGTTGCTGCTACCTGCATCCATAAAAAAACAACAACAACAACAACAGCTGACAGTTAAAAGCGAAAAGCTGCTCGAAAACCGAAAAATTGAAAAACAAATCAAACAAATGCTGAAGTAGCTTTAATTAAATTCCTCAGACATAATATTGTGGTACTTGAGATGAGCAGAGCGAGAGGGAGAGACAGTCAGAGAAAGAATAATAGTCAAAGACTTTGGCAAACACTCATCAAGTGTCTTTATCCCTTTACTTTGTGCAATTGCGTGAAAAGCTTGCAATGTCCGTGAGGAAAGT